AAATCCAATATAATTAGAAAGGTGAATTTCTTTGAATATCGAGATTAAGTCATTCTTTATCCTACAGGAAATCCTACTTTATTGATATCCTCTATATCAGAAAAATCCAACAGCTGTTGGTCTTATTCAATAGTTATTCTCAGGCTATTTAGAAAATATATTTACATATTCCTATAACTTTCCTTAAAGGAGCATAGTAGCATCTACTGTATAGAGAAGAACGATTTACCCATTAACTACGCAGATCTAAAGTGAATTCTGTCTACGCTATGAAAAACAATTCAAGACGCGTCAATTATCATACAATAGTTACTCCAATGCAAGTTTAGCAAATACCTTTCAAAATCCTCTCATCTCCACAAAAGGTCACAATATCATCCTCAATCCATTAATGTTAAAATGAACCAATAAACCAAAGGGTCCTTTTCAATCCTTGGAAATATATTTGCAACATTCATACCTCCAACTAACAGAAGTGGAACCACCCATAACACACTATTAGGGAGAACGCCAGCACTTTAGGTTCAAAAAAGTCTGTCAACGTGACTTAACCATAACAATCAAAATCACTATACAACTTTGTCTATTTTTCTCCTTTATATAAATTTCTAAAATGTACATATAAAATTTCACACAAAACCCTTAGTTCCTTACTTTGACAAGATCTTGAACCCAATACCTCAACCTCCCACGATATACAATTCATATTACTTCCTTAACAACAGAACATTTCCACAAATATAAAGCGATTCCTTAACAACAGAACATTTCCACAAATTTAAAGGGAAATTCAAGAAATTAACAGACCCATTTCCAAAAAAAAACATAACTTTAGAACCCTGCAATCCATATTACCTCAAGCAAGATCATTTGTGTGAAATTCAAGATAAATTCCAATAAAAAACCCCATCTTTTTATAAACCCTTGACCTTTTTGGGTCCCCTAAATACAATTAAAAATACTCCCATAAGCGATCGCCAAACCCAAATTATTTGTGGGCAAAGCAAGAGAAACTCCAATTAAACAAAACCCATTTCCCAAAAATCGAAATTAGGCAGAATTAAAAGTTTTAGATATAAAATCATAGAAAAATAAGTTAAAATTTGTGTATATTCATGGTGTAATTTCCATTAAATTAGAATAAATTACCCTAGGAGTATCAGTGTTGGATTGCAGACTTTGAGATCTCCTTACCTTCTTCTTCTCTGCTCCGCCTGGTTTCTTCATCCTTCTCCTCTCTGTGTGTGTTTTTGTCTTCCTGTGTTTGGGCGGTTTTCTTTGATTTCTTGTTTGTAGAGCGGGGTATTGCAGAAGAAGAAATACGAAGCACTTTTATCCTGTCGTAACGCTACTCGCCCGCGTGGGGGTGGGGGTTAGGGGGAATTAAAAATTTGGATAGTATGACAATATTTTTAGGTTAGTTGCTACAAAATTGGTTTCCTAGATTTTTTAAAATTTTTATAAGAGATTTTTATTTTTATAAAAGTTGTTCTTTGTAATTTGTATTATAAGAAGTTTTACAGGCTCATCAAGGCAAAGAAAAGAAAAGCTCGATATTTGGATTAAAGTGGTAGTTAAAACTATACATACTAGATGGAGATAACAAATAATGTACTTTCATAAATTCTTTAAGAAGTAGGGGTTGGAGACATCATGTTAGATGAATCGCAGAATTTACAGAGCTGACATAATTTTGGATATTGTAGGTCTATTAAAATTGACGAGGTTAATAAAGAGTGTTCTGTAATATGAGTAGGATAGAGAGATCAGACTTGATGAGAATTTGATAGAATTCTGAAAGATCATAAATAAAGCAGGGCTAGAGTGGTTGATTGAGTTGTTTAATGTCATTTTTAAGTTTAAATTTCTATTGAACCATCATGTTTAGAATGTTTTCTGAATGTGAAAGAAGACTAGGAACGGTTATTAGAATTCATGACATGCTTTTTTTAAGTTGAAATGAAAAACAAAACCTTGTAAGTTTGATGTGTTGTGTTTGTTATTTTGATAATGTAACTATGTGGATCTTTACATGATATGATGTACGCTGATATGATGATCGTCACTTAAGCTAGAGCGTGAACCTGATAAGTTAGTGATTGATAGTGAGACTTTTTCTCTTGTATGAGTGAGACAGTCGAAATTATTCTTGTTGTGTGTGCCAATTCCGAACTTGACATGTTAATTTACTAAGATTATCAGACTGTTGTTAGGAAAGGATCATAGAGCATTTTCTGAAAGTAACTCACTTAGCCTAAAAATGATCAACCAAAGTGTTTATTCCTCGATCTAAAATTTTGAGCCTAAGCAGACCTTTTGTCGTATTACCATATTTTTTTTCCTTTTTCTCCATGTTAACCTTTTGTTTTGATTATGGTTCCTCCTTGAACATTGTGCATCTTAATTCAGATAAAATGCAAATAAAATACAATAATACAGTCCAATACATATATCAACAAGTCACCACATATAAAGATTCTCAGTCATCAATCTTTACTTAGCTAACACATGAAACGTGTCCCACGTGATCACAATTACATATATCGCTTCTCTCATGGAAGCTACACAAAAATTGTTAGTATACCAGCGTGGTATCCAAATCAACCATTGTTAGTGTACCGACGTTGTACATCAACCAATCATTGTTAGTGTACCACCGTGGTATTCGAGCTAACCGTAGTGTTACCGATGTGGTACTTGAGTCAACCATCAATCACAAAATAACATACACATTTACAATCATAATAAACAACCATTCTTGAAGCAACAAGTAAATTAAACAGGTTGGTTGCTTGAGAGTTAGTAATTGGATGTCATTCATATTCACACCTTATGGGTTTCTCGTATGAATTGTACAAGTAATATTATAAAGGAATTAACATGCAAACATTACATACATTGAAAATAAATAACTATCACCTACCTTGAATCAAGTCGTGAAAACTCTAAAGAACTCGAACTTTCTCATTTTCAATGTATTGACTTGCTCTTGATGTAAAACAATAATAAACACAACAATCAGTGACTAGTAATATTGTCGTAGCGGCTCACTTGTTATAAGCAGAAATTAAAGGCAAAAACTAAATGCACTGATGTAAATTAGTGTATTAGGCCATCTCTAGAGTAGTTTTCCAGATAGTCAATGTACAACTTCTATCAGCAATCACTTCTTTATAAAATGACATTTGCTAATGCAGTATTTGAATAAATTTCTTTTTACATATAAGTGATGAAGATATTTGTTAATGTACAACATCAATCTTCAATGTACAACTTCTAACAACAATCACTTCTATATAAATTTCTTTTGTTTGCAGCATTTGAATAAATTTCTTTTGAATAATTTTATAGAATTTTAGGAGGGTGAGAGAGGTGGTGGTATTGGTGTGGTGAAGGAGATCTTGGAGAGGGTGGTGATTTTGGTGGTGGTGGAAAAAATAAAGTTGATTTGGGTAAAAAAAAATGAGTTATATTATTAAGTGGGTTGGGTTGGATTAAAATTAGATAATTAAATAAAATCGAATAATTTTAATTGATTTAAGGTTTTTCATCCAAGTAGGGGTATATTTGTTAACTTTATTGATGGCATGAATAAAAAGAATCTACTTTGAACGACGAGAATAAAGTCAATCAATAAAAACAAAGTTGAAGAATAATTTTGATCCTTTTCCCTTAAGATTTTTTAAAAGAATATATTAAGTTGACAAAGGTCAAATAATATGAAATAGAGTATGAAATATGAATAACTTAATCCAAAAATAAAAATAAGTTCATTTAAAGTATCAACTTATTGCTAATGGACAACTTTTGAAGGTTGAATTAAGAACAAACTTAGGACATAAAAGAAGATAATTTCGAGACAAATTTTTAACATTTTTTAATTAATTAGAGTTTAGAAAGCTTATTGCATGATTAATAATTAGTATTGCTACAACTATCCTTAGCTTCTTGGCGGAATAATGATTTTGAGATAACTTATCTTGAGATAAAATAATTAAAATTATAAAAATATCTCTTCAAATTCCTTTTGTACATTAATTTCAATTTTCACATCTTTTACCTTTGTAAAGTGTATTTTTTATGAGCAACTTTTACATATAGCAACACATAATTCATATTTATATGTTATAACAAAGTTTGCATAGTACGCTCCATACCAAACATAATATGTATAATTAGCTATACATATACAAAAGAAAGCAGTTGTATACAAATCAATTGTATAGTTTCCGTATATATAAAATGAGAAAGAGAGAAAGACAAAAGAAAATTGCGCAGGAATATATTTATATTGTATAATTATAAGTGTATATGACGAAGATATATGTATTTGCAGGTGTATATACAATTTTCACTCGTTTTATACAAACAGAAACACAATTTATACATTTTATTCATATTTGTATAAGCTATAGAGGTGAGGGTGACGAGCGAGATCTGGAAGAGTGAAACGAAAATATATGTATATATACATTTTTTTCTCGTTTTATACAAACACAAACACATTTTATACATTTGTGTTTGTATAAAAGTGAGAGGGAGCGACCGAGAAAGAGAGAGTGACAAGCGAGAATTTGAGGAAAAGAGGTAACTGACAAACAGTTTGCTACATGACACAATTAAATCAAAGTATGACTATAACATTTAATTTGATTCAATAGTTTGCTATATACAATTTTCCCATTTTTTAATTAGTTGAATGACTATTAAAAAATGTGCCTTTAATTTGGTTTCAACTTGATAAATATGTCCTTTATTTTTTAGATGTACACAAATAAACAATTAAAATTATATAAAATCTAATAAATAGATATATGCATTCTTCATGACAAATTCACGTAAAAATTAAGATACATGTATTATCTTACCTGACAACTAATTTGTATTTATGCAAAAAAAAAATACATTTATTCTACTTATTTAATTTTATATAAATATTTTAAATTTAAATATCTATTCATAACAATTCAATCTATATGGTATGTTGTGATAGACAAAAATGACAAAGAAATTAGTGAGAGATGATAAACCAAACAAATTTATACTTTATCCATAACTATACTCTACACATAGTGAGTATCAAATGCTGCAATTTCATCATTGTCTCTCACTTCACACAAACCCTTTGAATAATCCCTCTATCTTCTTCTTCCTCACCCATCCAACTACCTCTGTTTCAACAAGATGGAGTTTATTCAACAACAACAGAAGAGGAAGAAGAAAAATTTGTTGGGTTGAAGCTGTGGAAAAAGATTCTGAATTTGAAATTGACCCTGATAAAGCCCGTGAAGCTTTGAGAAAACTTGATGAACAGCTTCAAACCCTTTCTCAGAAACAAATTGACCCTCCAAAGATTAGGGGTAATCCACTCTTCTTATCTCTATAAAAATTGTTTTGTACTCCTACCTGTATGGATATGAATGTGTATTTTCCGGTGAATAAATGGTTTTTTTTCTCTTTTTATATGAGGGAATAAAGTAGAAGGTGGGGGAATCGAATTCTCACCAACAAAACGAAATAAATATTTTTAAATGCATAATACATGAATATATGCTTTTAACTTGGCATCAGTTGTTATCTATGCTTTTCAACAAACACTTAAATTTGTATAAACTTGAACAACAAGTAGACACGCACTACGTAGGATATGAATTATCATTATCATATAGGACTATTGAACTTTATACAGGTTCAAATGTCTACATGCACATATTCAAAGCTGGAGCACATAGATGTCAGATGAGTCCAAGTTAAAAAACACGTTTGTGTATTATGCAATTTTTAAGCTATGGTTTCTAGATCATAATTTATTTTTTTTACATTATGGGTTTTGGATTGGTTATTGCTATGTATTAAATTAATTTTTTAAAACACAAATACAGAAGTTGAGCCAAAGTTATTACATTTTGCTGAAACTTGTATCTACTGTACTGTCTCTGCTGCTGTTGTATATGAGCTGTAGAAAATAGAGATATTCTTGATTGTGTGCGGCTCTTTGCTGAAATCGTGTGGTATTGGCCAAAAGAGGACAGCATAGCGATGTTAAGAGCGCAAATTATTGAAATCCGCGTGTTTTGTTACTTGCAATAATTTGCAAAGAAAAGTTTAAAGGGAAAAGTAGGAAAGTTTTGAATGGTTTGAGCTGACTTCTTCAAAATCAACACAGACGAATGTTCTATTCAAACTCACATTTGTTGCTGTTAAGTGCTTGGACTGACTCTATTTCGTTGAGACTTTTTTATTTGATCAATAGTTGGAGTGAAACATTGAAAATATTAACCTTGGCAACTATTAGTTAGGTAACTTGAGCTGGTAGTGAGGTCATAAAGTTCGGTGAAAAGAGTATATACAACTTGTTTCTTGGATGGTAGACTTTCATTGTTCATATTTCTCGTGGATCATACCAAGAAACAACAAATAGACACATATAGTCTATATTGAAAAGAAGCCTGTTTCAATCAATGATTATTTTAGTTGAGCAAATGCCTTGCCTGTTTTTCTTTTCCTGTATTTTGATGATCTTGCCCCATTCCAACTGCCTGCTTATGTTGATATTTTTGTACTTACCTTTCTTTGTGTTCATTTCTTATTCGTTTGATTGTCTTACCAATGCCATCTACTTTCAATTTGCAATACAAGATTTGTCGCCTCTTCTTCTTCCAGTTCAAGATCTTCCAGGAACACATTTAACTCTTTTAATCTCTGCCTATCTGATTTTGGCATTGTCATTTTTTTCTTTATAGTTCAAATTTGTCAAACGGTTAATTCAAGATTCGATATCAAAGTGGTCTCCTTTTGTTCTTCAAAGTTGGAAACAAGAGTATGAGTGGAGTCTCAAAAAATTTCTGTTTGTGATCTCTACTTTTCATCATAATACTAGCAACACAACATTGCCGGTCTGTTAGTGTTTTTTTAATCATTCTTGGTGGCTCTTCGGTCTCTTGGGGGAAGTCCATGGTTTTTCTTAAGGATTGAAATTATCATCTCGATAAGTTGTGGTTATAGCGGTGTCACTGGGGATAGGAGTACCATGAAGGTGAGAGATAGGTACATGAGAGGGATCCTGTTTCTCCTCCCTAAAATGCTTGTTAATTCAACTGAATAATGCTTGTTATAGCACGCTGGGATTGTATACGTCTTCTATGTAGGACGATAACATCTGAAAATGCTAATGCACAATGAACAATAATTCTGCTTCAAATGGAATCACTGAAAAGGTAAGCACATGAATAGCCTCAGTTTCTCATGTAATGGGAAAGAAGAAATATAGATATCGAAAGTAAAAAGTAGTCTTGCTTCCACAAGATATGAGGTTGATTCTATCTGTTTTCTCTGTAACTTATTGCCACAATTACGCAAATGGGATTTACGTTGATAAGTTAATTTGCATTGCCAATATTCCTGACTCGATATTTTCTTGAAACACTTGCAGCTACTGATGTGACCCGTGCTAGCAGCCAAGTAACAGAAGACACTCGCGATCCTGAAGGATCCTTTTTGACTTCCCTAGCGTTCGGTCTCTTACTCTTCACTATTTTCTATAATATACTCTTCACTACTGTAATCAAACCAGCAGTTGATGGACCAGAAACAGTTGCAGAAATAGACTTATATGCTTCAAACTCTTGAAGCAGCTCAGGTAAATCATATAGATGGAGTTCATACTGAGCTGTGAAATAACATTTTTATTGAGATTCAACTGTATTATGTTATTTCAGAGTAAAACCATATTTTCAAGAGGCCTGTTTTTCATAATTTTAGATCATGATCTAACGTTTTTTCAATTATTTTCAATTTTATAGAAGGGATATTTAGACGGTGGTTTATAGGTCCATAAGTTATAAGAAAAATAAAAAGATAACATTTATTAAATAGTCATTCCATTTTAAAGCAATTGATGAAAAATATTTCAAGAAAAAGTGAATGTTACGAATTAGTTAGAATAAGAGTTGTATACACTTTACGTGTGGAAATACACATTAGGTACGTTAGAACAAAAGTACCTACTGAAAATTGGCCATATCACCTAATTTATTATAAACTACTAAGATTAACATATTTTATCAACCTAAATTAAGATAACAAGGTCAATGAGTATTTATACAACAACATACTCAATATAGTCTTACTACTTATCAGTACAATTTGAGAAGGATAAAATATACGCTAATCTTATTTTATCTTTGTGACGTGAACTTTTTTATTTCTGATAGATCCGTACATCATTATAACCAACTATCGTCCTAGGTCAAAGAAATTACCTACATGGAGCTACCTCTTACTTAGTTCGTTTTCCAATTCAAATTCGGATCAGTTGACAAATGGATTTCGCGCCTAGATAAGAAATCCATAATGAAAAATTCGATCATTCAAGTCGAATGAGAAATATAATACAAATATTGAGTACCAACTTCTAGTCTAGTGAAAGATGGACCTAACCTCTTTCTTTCTATTTAGGATGTGAAAGTCCTTTCAGTGTGACAATATGAGTAGATGATGCTCCACTCTTTTTCAGATTTATAATCGGTGCTATGAAATCTATCATAAGATATCATAATCTCTACTATTTTAAAAAAATTACTAGTTCTCTCGTATATCCCTTCCATTGAGTAATGCATCATTTGCAATGAATAGAGAACCAAGGAATGTATCCGAGAGTAGTGAATAATTTAAATTTTATAATTAGAGAAACTTCGAAATATGATTTAATTAGCCCATAAATGTACGGAATTTCTGGACTTTATACAACAATATATCTCTAATGGACTTGTAGGTAAACCAAAGGCCCAAATAATGAAATGACTGTTTACAAGCCCATTAAGCTCTGAAAAAACCCTAGGTTTATAACTCTAAATGTTTCTTCATTTCCATCAAAAAAAAGTTTAGCGTAAAAACCCTAGCACCGGTCTCATTTCCTTCACAACACTGCGAAAATGCCGCCAAAGTTCGATCCTTCTCAGGTCGTGGAAGTTTTCGTCCGAGTGACCGGAGGTGAAGTTGGAGCGGCGAGTTCACTCGCTCCAAAAATTGGTCCACTCGGTCTTTCTCCTAAGAAAATCGGTGAAGACATTGCTAAGGAAACTTCAAAGGACTGGAAGGGTCTCAGAGTCACCGTCAAGCTCACTGTCCAAAATCGTCAAGCTAAGGTATCAGTTGTACCTTCCGCTGCCGCACTTGTGATCAAAGCGTTGAAGGAACCTGAACGTGATAGGAAGAAAACGAAGAATATCAAGCATAATGGAAATATTTCGCTTGATGATGTTATCGAGATTGCTAAAGTTATGCAGCCTAGATCTATGGCTAAGGATTTGAGTGGAACTGTGAAGGAGATTTTAGGCACTTGTGTGTCTGTTGGTTGCACCGTTGATGGAAAAGATCCAAAGGATTTGCAGCAAGAGATTTCTGATGGCGATGTAGAGATTCCTGAGAATTGAAGAGCTGAAAAGAGGGGAATCGTGATTCCGTTTGCAGGAGAAGGTTAAATTCTGTATTTTTTTTCTCTCAATATAATAGTTCTAATGTTTGGATTTATCAGATGATACAGAATTTGATATAATGTTTGTTTCAATTTGCATTATTAGGATTTTGAATGTTCATTCATCTATATCTATTGGAATGCTTTTAGCTTGAACTTTTTTTCTCAAATGCATAGCCTCAAACTGCAGTTTGTATTTCCTATGCTATTTGTATCTATTGGGGATGACTGATGAGTTATTTTGTTTGCAATAATCTATAGAGTTTATATTTTAGATATTATACCTTTCTGTGCATGAACATGGTAAATCTTTTGAACCGTTGAAAAGTGCTGCTCAACCTGATGCTTCTTTCGCTTCTCCACTGCTCCTCATCGAAGACATGACCTTAGATAGAATGATATAGAGGCTAGTAGCTTCCCGTTTAGGGTACAAGGTCGTTGAGAGTGTTGTGTATGTCGTTGTATTAGCCTTGCTCCTATTGCTTCTTGCTTTCTAATATTTGTTATCATATGGCTTTATTGTTCCCTTTTTGTGCGTTTGATATTGCTTTCCCTTCCTTATTTTTTCTCATGTTTAGATTTGATGCACTTGAGTGTTAGTAGTATCTCTCAGAAATAGCCTCCTTACCCCCTCGAGTGTTTGTGTATACTTTTTACCCTCTTCAAACCCTGTTGTGAAGTATATTGTTGTACTAATGCAACTTCTCCTATTATCTTTGCTTGGGCTGTTTCGTCTTGTCAAGCCTTGAGATTGATTGAATTCATATGTTCAAGTAGATGTGTTGTTTTTAACATGTTATATGTATGGCGTGTTCGTTATTTTTACAAAAACACCATCTATGGCAGTTGTTTGCGTTGTGTTACATAATTTTTTATGCGAACACCAAACTAGTGATGAAATATGCAAGTGTGAACAATCGACTTAGGATAAAAAAAAAGTCATGTGTTTTGTTTACTTCACAATGTGTATTGAATGATGCTGATTGCACTCACTTCAAACTATCACATTATTCTAGTGTCATGGAGATTGCTTGTTATTTGTTGCAACGAAGATTCGATTGACTTGTAATATAAACTTATGATTATTTTTGGTAGCTTTTTGAACTTGTGCGTATAAATCATAATTTTTTAAAAAAGCGAAATATGTTTTTCAAATACTATGATCAAAACACATGGTCAAATTTCGCACTAGCTTTCATTCAGATAACGTTTACCCAAAAGTATTTGAAAATCTATGGCCAAAATGGCTTAGATCTTTCTTGCCCAGCAAAAAGTTTGCGTAGATCTCTATTAGAAGACATCCTTGTTCGCCAGACAGATTGTCGCAGCACTTCTCTTGGTGCAGTAGTTACAATAGCAACATAACCAATGTAATCCAATAAAAGTGAAGTTTTAACCAATGTAATTCAATAAAAGTGAAGTTTGAGAAAATTTTTATGGTGTAATCTTTTTGACATTTGTGGTCCTTTTCTCCTGTTGTCGCACTTTCTCTTTCATGCTTCCATTTTCTCAAATTTTATTCCTTTCTTTAATGCATCTTTTCCTTTGTAAAAATCCATTTTTTATTTTATTTTTGCATCTTCTAAAGCTTTTTTTAGTTCTACCTCTAAGTGAAAAAAAATAATATTAATGCAACTTTTTCTATGAGAGAATTCATTTTTTATTTTATCTTGCATCTTCTAAAGCTTTTTTTTAGTTCTACCTCTAAGTGAAAAAAAATAATTCATGCTACTATTATTTTGTGTTTCCACAAATTTGTTTGGTTAATTCTTATAACCCACAATAAAAAGATATTTATAAAAGTTTCGTTTCACATTTTAAGACATTATACATAAAGAATTTAATAAATATAGAAAAAAAAAGATAATTGAGTGCTTGATATCATTAAGACGTTATTATTAATACTAAACATTAAAAACATAAAATGGTTATAGAATAAATAAAAATAAAAATATATTTGACAATTAAGAATTGAGTGATTAAAATTGAAATCTCAAAAAAAAAGAAAGAAATTTAAATAACTAAGTAATTGAATGAATTTTAAATTCTTTGACGAGAGTTCAATTTTTTTTTAACTTTTATTATAGTCAGTGTCTTTGAATTCATCCAAAAAAATTAAATTTATATTTCTCTAATATATTACTTTAATTTCCCTCAAATATATATAAATTTTGAGGGTGAATTTTAAAGTTTTTTTTATCAAGATAAAATTACAATAAGAACAAGCAAAATAAAAAGTGGAAGAGAAAAAAATGAAGAAATGAACATGTACAACTGGCCCACATACAAATGGCAAGGCCTCGCACAAAATAAAAATTTTGATGAAGGTAACGTATACCTTTTGTTAAGATAGTCTCTCTTAAGGGCTCTTGGCCTTTTAATATCGCAAAGTGTATGTGTCAATTTATTTCTTTTAATAATTGTTGTACGTATAATAATTGTTGTACGTATTTGGTTCTTTTATTAAAAGATCTTTTCATCCATATTAAGTGATCATACCAACTTCCATTGCCAAATGCCACCAATATACAAGTTACTTCAACTATAGGATACATATTCCTTATCACTAGTTAATTTCATCGTGATTTTCTTTTTGTTTCTTTCTATATGATTAAATTTTAGTGGACAAAGTTACTGCTATTCAATTCAGTGATATTTTTGTCGGTATAAACATTAGTACTGTAGGAATTATTTATGAGTAAGTCTATGTATTATATCATGTAGGTAGTAGCAATGCATTTATTAGTTATTTATCTTTTATTTTTTACAAAATAATGTATAGATTCGCTCATAAATTAAACATGTATAAGTTATATGGGTATTTAAATAGTCAATCAAGCGTCATAGTAATTTTAATTAAGAATAATATTTTTCTATTTACTTGCCAAATGTCGTATACATCATATAAAAATAAATAAATAATTTATTTCTTATCCAACTATCAAACAGACCTTAATGGATGCTTTCTTAACACTCTATGGGGACGTTTGGTAGGATGTATTAAAAGAAATAATCCATGTATTAGATGTGGTATAATTTAATACTGTGTTTGGTAGGAATGTGAGCCTATGTATAACTAATCCATGGATTAGTTAATACATCCTACATGGTATTATGTGATGTATCACTAATACCTTCCATTTGGATGTATTAGCTCTAATACCATGGACTATTCTAGGTAAAGACAAAATACCCCTCAAATCCTTTTAAGATTTAATTTATTTTTTTGATTTTATATTTTATATTTATACTAATAAAGTTATTTAAATAAATTAGCTTACAACT